CCTTACTTATGTATATTGCTGTTTTTTTGTCATTTTAGGTGCGTTTCCCAAACTCGAAAATAAGCCGAATGAAGTACTTTGCACAAGGAAGATATTGTCACGGATTGAAGATATTAAGCAAATGTAAAACTAAAAATACATTTATTGAAGCGAGCTTGAGCCTACATACTTAAGGGAAAGGTACCAATGCCTTGCGTCGGGGACGAAAGGGTGACTGACCGAAGCAGCGTATTGCCGCTGCTTTTATACACGCGGTACATTCAGGAATGTTCTGAACCAAAACGAACAATAAAATAATGGGTTGCAACTTCAAGAAACATAAAAAGGATTTAAAAAAAGGTCCAGATCGAGCTTTGTTCGAATCGCACCCGCCGCGTGGCAGCCGTGCGCATTGCCAACTCCTCCATGCATGCGGTAATTTAAATACGACGACAACATTTTTTACACAAATTTGGTGTGTTTGCATGGGAGATGTGATAAGTAGGCGCGTACGAAGACGTTAATCACTTGAAGGTTTTTATTTTGTATTTCGGGGTAGTGTACAGCAGCACACAAACTAATTCACAAATGAAAAATCTCAATCGGTGACATGCGCCTCTCTAGATACATGGATCATAACTTCTGTCGCATGATCGGCCCCTTCCTGAGAGCTGAAGATGATGTCGTAGAGTACATTTCTTGCATTGATTTGTAATATTATCTTCAGATATAATAACTACAAGGGTTTACATACTTCTTGTGTTCATTCTTGCAGTTTTATTTCTGTGTATTCAACGTGCCGTCATTTAAAATAGGAAGACTAGGACGGCCATCATTGACCGTAATGATGCGCACGACAAAGTTCATTCTAGTGCCTTTGCCTTAATCTTTAAAATGTAGTAAATGTTGTACGACTAATCTGCAAACAACATTATTTATATCGAGTTAATTGTTACAAGTAAAGCTGTGCAATATGTTTTATATCAAAGTTTATTTCGCATTAGAGCACCCCGGGACGTGGACACACTGTGCTGTAACGGACCACTGCATCCTCTTACAGCGATCTTCGGGAGCGGCCCTTTTGGTCCCATTTATGGCTTGGGGCCTGCGAGTTTGCCAGGAGAATTCATTTAATCTCCTCTGGAAGGTGAACTTGCGGTGCAAAAAAACAGCTTGAAGAAGTAAATTTAAGTTGAGCGCATTGATCCTTCCTCTACTTTCGAGATTTCAAAGATTGCTAAAAATATTATAAAAAAGAGTAACTTTCCCTTAAGGCAGCATTGTCTCTAATAAGGTGGTTAGTTTGGCGAGATGGTGATATTGAACATGGTTAAATTTGCGCGCAAAAAGAAAGGAACATAGGATAAACTTTTCTCTTCTCTCACCTCTGTTTATTTCTATTCGCGCTCAATTTTAGCCGTGTTCAACCAGTGTCTGCTTTGTGATCTATGTAAAAATAAGAAAATAAAGCAAGAAGAAAAAGAAACCTCTGCAGTGAAGATTACTGTCAATGAATGCATTGATTTTTTTCCATAGTATGGACAGTTGACAAGATTAGGGGCATTTAGCTAAATATAAAAAAAAATGCAGCTTCATTTTTCGTACTTAACTGAGGATACAAAATTTTAGTAATTTAAAATTGAGACCCTCATAAAGCGGATGCAGTCTTAAAGGGATGTGAATATGGTTTTGAGTAAGAACGATTTAGTGGTGAATTCTGATGTATTTTTTATACCCGTGACTTTATATATCGCAAGCATTTGACCCAAAACATCTACAGACGCGGAAAAAAAAACACTTTGTGTTACGTCGTACTCAGAAGATTCCACTGCTTGGCGCATGCCGCTTCGGAGGCAACGCAGGGAGCAATTTTGCCTGCTAGGGTAACCCTTGCAGAACGACCGGAAATTTTGAGACCTCTGTATATTACGTCATGATTCCCTCCTTGCGCCGAACGTGACGGAAGGGAGGGAATTCAGCGCTATTGGAACTCGCTGTTTTTTTCTACTGGGCGCATCAGCCTGAAATATGCTTTTGATATTCGTAATACTGGAGGCCAAGTAAAAACGATTTAAATATTTTTTTCTCAATAACAAAACCGCTTAAGTTTCACGGTAATCAGTGTTTCATGACGTATGGCACTTCGTTGTGACTTAGTTTTACCCAGAATGACCGAGCTTGCCGCATAAGTTATCGTACGAGGTGGGACAACGTGTTGCTTACCTTTGGCAACAATTTCGCCCAGCTGATTGTAAAGGACCTCTGTGATAAAAAAGAAAAAAAAAAGATAATTTTGCAATTTGTAACTACACATATATAATATACGTATTCTCGGTTTTTATCTCCGTTTCATTTAAAAAAATTTATGTTAACCAGCTTAAGGTGTTCAAATCGTTTAGAGAACATAGCTTTCACAAACTTTCACTCTGCTCGCCCAGGGCGTTAAAAGCATCTATAAATGCATTTAACGCCCTGGGAATTGACGGTCATTAAATACTCCATGCGTAGGCTTTATTCCACTTTTTTTATTCAATGTTGAATTGAACAAGATTTGGGGACTGTGAAAGATATTTTAATGATAACAAATTATGAATAAAAAGAAAACAGTGATTTTAAACTGCGTAAATATACGGGATCGAAATACCTAATCTGCCTTTATATCTTTTCTTTATAAATCACAACACATATCGCTAAAGAGGTTTTCCGACAGTTATTTAAGCTACATAAACTAGCGAAATCTTCACAATCACCGGCCTTTATCTTTCCCGCATCTTTTTAATGTTGCAAAATAGTTACAGTGATATCAGCGAGTGAAAATGATGCCGAAACCAGCATTAAAATATACCCGCGCTTTTCGTCATCGTGATATCAGTTGAAGGCATACTTCCAGGTCGAGTAGGCTGTCTAAAAATGGATGATGCGGAGCATTTGTTTGATGCTGCGGCGCGGACGCTGGAACGAGCTTCTAAATCATTCAGTTGACTCCATAAAATTTCTTGTAATCATGCAGTGGGAACAAAGTGTACAAGCCAAAGACTTAAACACCTGACGCCCGCTGGCGTGACTTTCTTATTGCAGCAAGTAGCAACTTTTAGTTTGAAAAGCACGCTGAGGACCAAAATTGTTAATTTAATAACTTTGCCGAAAAATCAATTTCGGCCCAGTATTTAGGTTACTGTATCGGCGGTCTTTGTTGGTGCGTTAACGAAATTTTTATGCAAATCTGGGACTATAAAAAAACGCTAGAGTTATATAACAAAATTCTAAAATCTAAATTTGCAAATGAAAGACATTTGTCTCTGGTTATGACAGGTAAATTTGCCGTTTACAGGAGAGGCAGTAGCATCATCTTATGGCTTACTAACTTGCGGCAATTTACAAGCGTATTTATAATTCTCAATTATTTGGATGCCATCCTTTGTGTCTTGTGTAATGTGTGCTTTTTCAGGTTAATAAAACTCTTCGTTGATGCATGAGCAGAGATATAAACCTACAGCGGCGACATTTTCAACGTATATATTCGGTCACCTATAAAACATTTTCATGTTAGCTGGATAAGTTTGTCAGATAAACATAGATTTTTGTTCTCATGCAGTTCAAGCCTACAAAAAAAGGTCAAATAAAGTGTAGTAAGTAGCCCGTAGCTCAGCCTAACCTTTATGTAATTTTTGTGGGTTCTGTACGTAGTACTTTGCAAAGCATAACATCAGTGTGTATATTTATGGTGCGACATGATGCATGCAAAATTAATGAGATTGTATAATGTCGTGACCGTTTGAATTTTATGATTTGAACATTTATGGGCTTGAAAATTTTAAAATGAATATAGGGAGTTCTCTGTGGCGACGCCACAACAGTATTGTCTTTTATCGTAATTTAGAATAATATTCAGAACACGATCTATTTACAAGGTTATGAAGAGAAGGAAGTAGGTTGATGAAAGCATCCTGTTAAAGTTAAGGTGCAAACTATTTCCGAGCGCTGAAACTCTGATATGAATTACTGACCAAGATCGCTTTTTCCCACGTTGACATTTGCTGCAGAGAAAAAAAAAACGATTTATGCGTCCATTAGAACTGATAGTAACAAGCAATTTGATATGCTATTAAGGTAATTCCGTAAAAACGTTTTAGGGCAAAACACATTACACTGGGCACAGTAATGTTGCAAAACAATTAGTTTGGTTTAACAGTTCGTTCATACTTATGTATTAAACTCGGCTGTACATTTCTCTAAGTCACCTCCTGAAAATTTCCAGTCGTCCCTTCAAAACGCATGAGCATGCACGGGACACCTGGGAACACGAACGCTCTTCCTATCCTTATCACTTAAACCCGTGTTCCATGGGATCAAGCTCTCACTGGATGTGCAGCCTGCACAATGCCTCGCAAAAGGAAGCAAAAGGGCTGAAGAGGAGACTGCTGAACAAAGGCAGCGACGTGCTGAGCATGACCATGCTCGACGTACCAAAATGATGCCGGCGGCCTTTACAAAGCCATGCATAAAATGTGTGGGATTTGTTCTTTTTCTTTCATCAAAATTGAAGGCGCACATTATAGGCATTGTAAAAGACAAGCGAAACATTGAAATTGTGATGTGTTTAGTAACAAAGCATCTGAAAAGTACACCCCCTTTTTAAGCTTTTGGGTGAAAAATTGTGAATGTAATATATGTGTATCATTGTAACACTTTCATTCATAATTTGAAGAAAAAGTTTCAGAATTTTCACGTTACATGCATAGGTTGCGTATTTCATTACCTATTTCTTAAATAGTAGGTTGAGGGATGGTTTTCTTAAACTGGCTTTGGCACATCAGGTTATGAGTAAAATTAAGGTGGAGTCTTTATTTAGCAGATGAATATAACCATACTGGAACCCCCTGCTTGTTTGTATAAATTACCGCCATAGATGTCCTTCCATCACGATTGTGGTATTATTATAACACGTGTAAGAAGGGTAAACGGTGGGCAGACATAAATATGGGGCGTATAAAACGATGAGTCATACCAATAGTGCCCTTCACTGTTTCCATCAACTTTGTTCCTGTACGGGGGAAAGAAAATGAAGGCAATTTGACAAAGTGGCAAGCCCTGCGTAAGTTATGTTAGGAGCTGAATTACAGGTAATTTATTATCCTCCATTAAAATACTCAAATATATTTGTGCGGGAGATCATCTTAGATTCATGTGGTGGATGTGATACGTCGACGAAGGTATTTTTCAGCCTATTGTGATACATTAGCTCAAACATGCCTTAATTACAAATATTATTTGTCAGCTTAACAACAACTCGGATAACATTGTTACCTAACGTTTTTGAGTATAATTGTTAAATGTAGGGACCCATGATAGTGACAAGTATTTCAAAATCAAGAAAAACAGTAAGTACAAACAGGATTGAATTCAATGTATAATATTGTTTTTGCGTTTCACGTTTTCTTTCAACGTGAATTTTTATTATCTCTCCTGTGATAGTGCGCTAATAGATATTGCAGGTTTATGTCCTGTACTTGTTATACTTTATTAACCATCTTGCTTTAACTAATTCATGTAAAAAACTGGTAAAAAGCTATTTACTTTTCAAAATATTTCACAATAATTGATACTATTACTACTCTACGCCCGATACGACAGGCCTTGTTTACAATTGAGTTTTACATTACATGCAGCGAAACATTTTATTAAACTATTTAACATTCCCTAATGTTGTTTTTTTAAATTTTATAAAACAACCGGGTGAGGGTTACATGGGTGCCGTCTTTAATTTTCATTTAACACGCTCAGCGGGTATTAAGCGATGGAACTACCGTTACAGTAAAGAAAACAATCAAGTAAAAACTTTTAATGTAGATCTTTTGCTAATATTTTAATAGGTATGGTGCAATATCAGTATTCACAGCGTCCCGCCTACCGTTTCAGCGTTGTTTTGTGAACACCGAATATTGGTTCAGTTGCCCTTTATGCTGGTATGTAAGTGCTAGCATTCTGTCTTCGCTGAGAGTAAGCTGAGATAATATAACGTAAGCTCTCGGTTCTAAGGATATATAATATTCCTTACCAGTGTTCTGGACGCTGTTCTGGAAGTCAACACCCTCTGTAAAGTCAAGGAGGATCATTGTTTAGGTTATGAGTTTCTACATCTTCATGTAAAAGTCTGGTTCTGAAGTACATTTTCTACATCTAGATTATTCAATCAATTGGTGGTAGGATTATTACGATCCTGTTTATTAAAAACAATAGAGCTTAAAGACTCGAAACCATAGTATAAAGTTTAAACTTGTTTGTTCAATACATTCCTCGTATACAAAATATATAAAAGGAAATGCTGCTCGGTATGAAGATAGAGGATAATGACAATAATAATAATAGTATTATTTATTTCGGCTCAGGAAAGCCACGATGCAGCAGAAGGGCAGGAGCCCAAACCGATGTAGGCCTGCTGTGCTGTTGAAGCTAAGCCGACGAAGATACAAGTGAACAACTTGAGCTTCTTTAAAGAGTAACTTACGCTTGGTGAAAAGAGCTTTAATCTCATCGTACACGTCACCTGTAACATGGAGATGTTCATGCATTATGGTTTAATATAGCGTTCAGAGGTATACCAGATATCACAAGACAATAGGTGAATTTAAAAGTATTGTGATTCACAATACTTTTCTACAGCTTCATCTGGCGAAGGCCGAAGACCACGGAGCACAAACATTAATGATATAACTTCAACGCGTCACAACGTGACGCGTTGAAGAATGTGTGCACAGTAGTTCAACATCTTTCAAATAGTATTCGACGGTAATTGTTTTAATACAAAATATTTATGATAATGCACAATATGGAATATATTTATGAAGTTTACACTCTGAAAGTTCGGTGCCAATGGAGCGTGGGAAATCTTTCAAATAATGAATTTTATTAGCAACAGCATAAAGATCATGGTCAGTGTCGTATCCTAGTTGTGCTCGAATATAAGGCTTCATGTAGAGATTCAAAATATTTTCGAAAGGAATGTACAAACTAAATTTAAAAAAAGAATGACAACATTTTTTAGAGTTCTAGCAACATAATATTAGCACCACTATTTGTGATTTACGGCAATATGCAGAACAAAACGGGTTGGATGTGGCCGATTCTAATGTGTTAACACTATGATAAGCTAATTTATACACAGCAACAAAACAAAAAAATGCAAAATTTTTTATTCTAATAAAAGTTTTGATGAATCCGTCACTCACCAAGGTCATTAATGCCGGCATACAGTTTTCCTGGAGGAAGAAGGAAACAAAGCATTTATAAAAACAAGAACTTAATATTGCAAGTGAAACGCGTGTTATTTCTCTTGTACAAAGCGAACTTCCAGAACTAAAATAGCAACGTTTGTTGTTGCAGTATTTGCGCATTTTTGTTTGTAAGATCTGCGGGAATAACTTATTTTATATCTGTACTCGATTCAAAAGAAAGGCCAGCGCAAAAGGCTCACAAGTGCGACTTATCTCTGGTAACTTTGTTTTAGCATTACAAGTCTCGAACAATTATGAAAGAGTTTTCTGTTGTGTATTGGTTCTTACTTACCTTTGATGTATTCCACACGAAAGAGTAGGTCTTGACCTAAAAATAAATTAATATATTCACAATTTTAAATTTCAAACTACCAGAAATTGTTTAAAGCAAAATTTGTGATGTCAACAACTGTTTGTGATCAAACCATGACCGAGTTCGTAGATCTAAGTTTAATCGAATACATAAGTTGTATTTCGTTCGTGCCTCTACACTACCCGAACTTCAGAAAAACATATTTTTGTATATAGAAGTGCTTTGCACAAAATACTTAGAATTGAAAATTCAAATCACTATTGTCGCTAATATGTAAGTTACGCGCAGTGCATGCTGCTTGTCAGGCGTCAAAATGTAGATGACAATCAACTTTCTTTTCGTTTGCTCGCTCTTTATGACTTTTTTGTGGCAGTTTTATCTAGAGGACAATATTTGTAACTTAGACCGGTTTAGATTAAATTATTATTTCAATGAGATTTGCATGAGACTCAAGAAATGATACTAAGCGATTGTGTTCACCTGCAAGCTTACCTTTCGCGCTAACATCCTTGGCCGGAACCGCATCTGGGAAGGCATATTAAAAAAAAAAAAATATTACAACACTTTAGTTTTAATAATGGCGAAATATACGGAGACCTGGCCATCCAACTAAAAATGATATAAAAAAAGCAGTCATAGCAGGTATCATTACTGCATGTATAACGTTTAAATTTTGAATGGGAGCAACATGCGATATTTATTTCCTTTCTACGTAAATATTTGTATTCTAACTCATTCAAATATTTTCCAGGAGCGGGAGAGAAATCTAACTGCAATATAAAAACATCACCGCTAATTGAATTTTACCTTTCTACGGGTTATTTGCGGTTCTGGCTTAAAAAACAAAAGGGTTTTCAAATAAAAAAAAGAAATAAACATAGGTTATCTTCTATTCGGTGGCACGAACTATTTCCGGCGAGCCCTTGTTAGAGGCTGCAAGTATGTTCATGAAATGATTCAGGTGCTTTATAAGATACAAGTCGCGTTTGTAACACTCAGCTAAACTGTTTTGTAAGTGCTCCTCAGTAGAAAAGTTACACTGGTTGTTCAATTTTTATTTGTTCGCGGTCCAAGTTTTATCATAGTAGAGTGCCATATTTTCGGCCTCGTAGTTTTTCACACTTCATTTTCTAATATGTTCAATTTGTAACATATTTTATGAACGAGGACACAAAAGCGCTGCCAAACTGCAAAACTCAAAACCTGAATGTTCTTTCATATATTAAATATATTTAAAAGTGTTACATCGGCCCTTGCATTTGCTGATGTATTTTACCTAGTGTGTTGTTGCAAGCTTACCTCTTTGTGACGACGATCAAGTTGCACTCGTCAAATATAAAACAAAGCGTAACATTCCGTGAATTCTAAACAGGGTGGTTTACGCAGTAGAATAATACGTGAGATACCCTAAAGGTTAATATGTTGGTATGTTCGAGAAGTTTTCATTGCTATTGAAGGGTTTACAAGTTCAGCGCTCATATAAATTACACGCCAGTTGAAAAAAAAATTTCCAGGCGGATCGCGCATTCCTTTAGAAGGAGTCCATCTTTGTTACAAGTTTTTGGTTTGTACAACCTTTTTTCCCGAACCGGTTAAACTTACCTTTCACGAAACCTTGGACATCGTACTGGCCTTGGGCCACACCTGCAAGATGTGAGTTACAGTGACATTGTTTCATGTAATATAGTTTTAGTACAAATCTTTAGCCAGCATCACCTCAATTTACCTGTTAAGTTCAGTATAGTTTATCGCATGTAAACCAAACATGAACCCGTGATTCATTCATGTGTATAACATCTCGCTGTCCAAAGAAGTTGCAATTCAAATTAGTCGTGTACCCTTATTCAAATAAGTTGTGTAAGTGCAATTCAAATTAGTTGTGTAAGCCAACAATACATACAACTGACGCTACCTTAGTTAAGCATGAGCGGCCAAGACAGACCTCATATCCTCCTGCGTAAACACAATCACGCAGAAAGCAGTAAAAAGTATGGACTTGTTCTGATCGTATGCCAAACATCGAGGAAATTTATCGTCCTCTTCGTAGTCTGTGGCTGTCTGAGACACCCTACCAAGCTACTAAGCCAGAGAGGATCTTTTAGTGACCAATTCTTTTTAGCCAGGACTGTACCCGATATCCTCCACATATCTCGCATCTTTCCGCTCCAAAATGGCGCCACAATGACCTTCATCCTATTTTGGCCCTGCTCCGGACGTTTCAGCATGGTTTTCCCGAGTCTGTTCACCAATGTTCTACAGGCTGGCAGCCCCCTACCGTTGTAAAATGACTCGGGTCACGCCGGTGTATAAAGGGAATAGTTCCCCAACATCATCAGCTGCCGTATATCAGCCCATTTCGACAACCTCCATCATCTGCAGAACGATAGAACGAATCCTCCAGAAAACACGAATTCCAGGCGCGCATCGAGCAGCACAAACTTCTCTCACGTTGACAGTACGGCTGTTGTGAGAATTGGATGTCAGTATTTCCACAACATAGTCTCCAAAGAGTTGCCTCCAGAGAAGCAGTATCAAGCGCTAAACGTCTCCTTTCGGGAATCCCTCGAGGAAATTTTCTTGGACCAACTTTGTTCAACACCTTTTTTAATGATTTAACGACCTCCTAGCATTGCATGCCCCGTCTGTACGCCGATGACCTCATCATTATCTAGACAGTCCAGCGGTCCTTCGAGCACCATCAACTTCAGGATCTCCTGTACGTTGTCCACGTTTGGTTGGTAAACAACAATGTTCCCTTATTTACAGCAAGTACACATCAACCCTAAAGATTACGTCCAGAAGCCGTGTTACCGTTCAGCAGTCTCGAGCTCAACGAAACCGCATTCCCTCCTATCGATCGCGCAAGGCTCGTTTGAATGACAATAGACCCTAAATTAAATTTCTTAACTCAGATTGGCGAGGCGGCTTCCGGTGTCAAACGGATGCTTGGTTTCCTGTTTCGGGTTAACCGGGGAGATGGCGATACTGCTCTGTGACACCTATACACTACAGTGGTCCTACCATGCCTGGAGTTGTGTGCCGCGGTTTGGGACCCCTACCAACTCTCGCTATCAGCATTCCTCGAAAGTGTGCAGCGAAGCTATGCTTATGCGACGCTCTTGAGAGTGTTGGGATTGACCTCTCTGACACATCGTCAAGTAGTGGCAACCCTCAAGCTCGTAAAAAACCGCATCTTTTAGAGGGACTCCGAGCTCCCGCTACTGCAGCATCTTCGCCAAACCAGGTCCTGTGGCCTTCAGTTATTCTTCTGGCGTTCCGAGGGGCACAAAAAACTCGTTCGAAGTGAAAACTGCGGCGCTCTGGCTCTCTCTAGCAAAGGACATGGCGGAGTGCACTCCCCATAGAGCAAGAACACCTCAAAAGCTTGGTGCAGGGAAGAAACACTCTTCCTTGAGGAACAATGGGCCCCACCTTTTGTTTCTTTCCTTTCCTTTTTTTTGCATATATTGCTGTGATGAAAAAGACGACGGCCTGTTTCGGCGCCACGGGCCGTCAGTCTCGAATGAAAAAGCTAAACCGCAAACGGACGTCTCTTTGCTAGGTCCCAGAACCACGTAACAATATTTATTTTATGTGTGAGTGTTTTTGTTTTTAGTTTAGAAGAGTTTTTTTTGTATTAATGGGACCAAGCAAGCAATTAAACTGCCAGTCAAACTGTTTAAATATTTGACCGTGCAGGTATGCGATGCGAACCTGTTAACACTGGACAGCGGCGTAACGGGCTGGTTTGAAGGAGAGAGTGAGAGAGAGAGAGAGCGAAGGCGGGGCTTGATTTCGGGGAACTTCCAAGGTTGGGTGAATCTTATCCTGGGAGCTCCGAGATATCTTCGGGAAGGGAAGACAAAGAGTCATTTTGTCAAGGAAGCAGACAGGCGACGTGTGTTGTCGAAGGGGGGCAATTGCTGCCGGAAGAGGAGCACCAGGGAGACGAAGAAAGAAAACCAATGTAGACTTGGCGCAAGCTACGAATCAGCAGCGGAGCTGTGAGTGGTCGTCTGTCGTGTACGGGTGATAAGCAACCTGAACGCAGCGCAGGCTTCAATACAGCAGCAAGGTTGTAGGTTTTCATTGGCCGCGTCTAGGAGTTCTAATCTCATTTATTCCCGCAAGCTTCGGAGACACTTCAACTGTACAATTTTGCACTTTGAACTTTAACTTCAATTCCTCGCGTTGCTTTAGTTAAATGCATTGCTCATTTGAGCGAGTCTCTGCGTGTAATTTTTCTGCTGTGTCCTCACCAATAATTTAGCGGTGTCCGCGTGTACTTCGTGGTGTTCAGGACTTGCCTTTTTTAGCCTATATTTTATGATCCAGGGAATGCTAAGGCCTGTTTCTCTTCGACAACGAACTCTATCAGTGTGCTGTAACTTCCCTTCTCGCCAGAGGTAAGTCACGAGCTCAAATAAATTTGTGTACCTGAAGAACGGGTCAAGGGTGCGTTATTTGCGTGTACTACGTCGACCCCTTTCAAACTGTACCCAGTGGGGGCTAACTAAAGATTTCCCTCAAAAGGGTATAGTATTCAACGTGTGCCGGAATCGAACGAGTGCCTGTCTCCATGGGACCCTTATCAAACTGTTGCCGGTAGAAAACGGGTAGTCGTATCCCGGAATCTCATGACATGAGCGGGTCGACGGTTTGGCAACGTGTTCGAATCCCAAATAGGTCGGACATTTCGGAAGGCGTTCGAATTTAGAAATGTTTCTCTCCCGGTAGAGACGCGGAGGGAAACAGCAAAAACCTTCTTGTGGACGCTGTTGCTCAAAGACAGCGCAAAATAAAACAAAAACATGATTGTTTCTTACCGATGAACACGGTGCTAAGTATCCTTGGACATCCTCAAGCAGATACAGCAGATGCGAGAGTATGTGATGCCACTTGAGAGTAGCAGCATCAACCAGAATATCTGTCATGTTTAATTAGCCTGAGATTGGGGTAGAGAAGAAACATCAAAACGTAGAAGGGACAGGAAATAGACTGGAGGACGTCTCAAA